AAAGGTGCTCTGGTTGTGATGAAAGGCAAGAAGATCAAGCTTAATTTATATGTGTTGCTTGGTAATACTATCACATATAGAGCAGCAATTTCCCTATCTGATGATGGTGATTCTGACTTGACTCAGTTGTGCCATATGCGATTGGACCACATGGGCGAGAAAGGTTTGACGGAACTTAGCAAACGCAAATTGATTAATGGCATGAAGAAGTGCAAGTTGGACTTCTATGAGCATTGTGTTTATGATAAGCAGTATAGGATGCAGTTTCGCATGTCAGAACATACCACAAAATGTATTCTTGACTATATTCATTCAGATGTTTGGGGCCTTGCATCGGTTGTCTCAAAAGGTAGATCTCTATACTTTGTTTCCTTCATAGATGATTTCTCAAAGAAGGTATGGATTTACACATTGTAGAAAAATGCAAATGTATTTAACATATTCAAGCAGTGAAATGCTATGTCGAAAGATAAACTGAAAAGAAGGTTAAGTTCTTGAGGACTAATAATGGTGGAGAGTACACTTCAGCGGAGTTTGTGAATTTTTGCAAAAGCGACGGAATTGTTCTTCACTTCACCACTCTAAAGATGCCGCAACAGAATGGAGTTGCTGAGGGCATGAACATGACCTTTCTAGAGAAGACCCGCAATATGTTGAGTAATGCTGGTTTGTCGAAGGACTTTTGGACTGAGGCGGTCAATACGGTGTGTTACCTAGTCAACAGGTCACCATCTACAACAATAAATTACAAAACATCTGAAGAGGTATAGTCTAGTAAACCTACTGCTTATTCTCATTTAAGAATTTTGGGTTGTCCTGCTTATGTTCATGTGAAGGATGATAAGTTGAGTCCAAAGTCAAAGAAGTGTATTTTCCTAGGTTAAGCACATGGGGTTAAGGGCTACAGAATATGGTGCACAGATCCTAAGTCGCCTAAGTTTATTGTTAGTTATGATGTCAAATTCGATGAGTCTACCATGTTAAAGCACATTCAGAATGGTGCATAAAAGGAAAATTACAGCAGTAGTGATGCAATTGAGGAGGAGTTGACAACTTTAGAAAATACTCCAAATTATGTGCCAGGAATTTCCTGTGAGAGAGCGGAGGATGTTGATTATGAGAAGGTCGTTGAATCTACTCCACTTGTGGAAGAGCCTCAGTTTAGAAAGGGAAAGGGAATAAAAAAGCCAATTATGCAGTACGGTTTTGAGGACATGGTGGCTTATGCATTGGCTGCCACAAGCTAAGAGCCATTCACTTTTAAGGAAGCTACTTAGGATAGTGACAATAGCAGGTGGAATGAAGCCATGGATGAAGAAATGAAATCTCTGAAGAAGAATCGTACTTGGGATCTTGTGAAGTTACTTAAAGGCAAGAGAGCCATTGGTTGTAAATGAGTTTATAAGAAAAAAGATGGGTCACCTAAGACCGGTGGTGATCGATTTAAGGTACGTTTGGTTGCAAAAGGCTATGCACAGAAAGAAAGTATTGATTATAATGAGATTTTCTCTCCAGTTGTGAAAGACACTTCTATTCGAGTTTTACTAGTGATGGTTGCATTATTTGATTTGGAGTTAGAACAACTTGATGTCAAAGACTGCATTCTTTCATGGAGAGGTAGAAGAATATATTTATATGACTCAATCAGAAGGGTTTGTTATTAAAGGAAAGGAGGACCATGTCTGTAAATTGAAGAAGTTGTTGTATGACCTAAAGCAGTCTCCTAGGCAGTGGTACAAACATTTTGATACATTCATGATTGGACAAGGGTATATCAGAAGTAAGTATGACAATTGTGTTTATTTTAAGAAATTTACTGATGGTTCGTTCATCTATTTATTGTTTTATGTGGATGATATTCTTATTACTCCAAAGAATTCTTTAGAAATCAGTAAATTGAAGACTCAACTTGCCAGAGAATTTGAAATGAAAGACCTAGGTTCAGTAAAGAAAATTTTGGGTATGGAGATTCGTAGAGATTGAAAGTTGGGTAAATTGGGACTATCTCAGAAGGAGTACATTGAAAGGGTCTTCGCTAGATTCGGGATGGAAAATTCAAAGCCCGTGGGTACTCCTCTTGCTGCACATTTCAGATTGATGGCAGTATTATCTCCAAGTTCAGATGCTGAAAAGGAATACATGTCATGTGTTCCCTCTACAAATGTAGTTGGAAGCCTTAGGTATGTAATGGTTTGCACTCGCCCAGATATTTCGCATGTCGTTAGTGTGGTTAGTAAGTATGTAGCTAATTTAGGAAAGAAGCATTTGCATGCAGTAAAATGGATTCTGCGTTACCTAAAAGGTACATCAGATGTGGGTCAGATGTTTGATAGAGATAGCAAGTTTGGTGACAAGGTTGTTGGTTATGTTGATGCTGACTTTACAAGTGATTTAGACTGTAGGAGATCTACTACAGGTTATGTGTTTACACTTGCAAGAGCTCCAATCAGTTGGAGGTCGATGATATAAACTGTTGTTGCTTTGTCTACAACTGAAGCAAAATACATGGTTGTTATTGAGGCAGTAAAAGAAGTCATTTGTCTTAGAGGGCTTGTAAGCGATTTGGGTTTATGATAGGATGAGACTGTTATTCATTGTGATAGTCAGAGTGCAATACATTTGGCAAAGAACCTGGTATATCATGCAAGGACAAATCATATTGATGCCAGATACCATTTTATTTGTGAGATCATAACTGAAGGTGATATCTTGTTATTGAAGATTTACACTAAGAAGAATGCTGCATATATGTTAACAAAGCTGGTTCCAGTACAGATGTTCAAGCTATGCTTGGACTTGACTAATGTGTTGCACAAGTGAGCGCCTGTGGAGGCACGTGTAGAGAAGACGATTGATGGAAATATCTTTCGGAATTCAAGTCAAGGTGGAGATTTGTTGATTTGTTTTGTATTCCAAGATAAGTTTGAGCTTAGGTTTCCATATTTTGTTGGGATGTGAATCCTAAATTTTAGGAAACTAATATTTTTTGGATATTTCTAAATTGGCAAGAGATAGGAGTATAAAGATTTTTCCCTTACGTGATCTCTCTATGTTTTCTATTTATTTGGGTAGACCCTATTGTTTATTATCTAAGTTTATAGATAAGTCTTACTTAGATTAGGATGATGCTTTGAGCCCACATGGATAGGGATAAAGTTCCTTTTTTATGAAGTTAGGAAAGTTGAGATTGGTTTGATCGTAATTGTCTTTGGGGCTTTACTCTCTCTATATAAAGATGTTTTTCTACAGAGAGAAAGCACGTGTGGAAAAAGTAGCCCATACGTGGTGTACTTTTGGGTTTGTCCTCTCTTATTGAAATATATTGTAGAGAGATAAAGTGCATAGAGAAAAATAGAGGAAAACTTTGGGGGTTTTTGTAGAGAGAGAAAATTATAGAGAATAAGGCTTTAGGGAATATTGAGTCTCTGGTTCTCTCAAGTAAGTTGCCTTGCAATTTTCTTACTTTGATTTAGTGAAAAATATCGATCGTCTTCGCCCGTGGATGTAGTTACAATTGTGACGAACCACATAAATCTTGGTGTTCTTTTTTTGTTATTTATTTCCTGTTTATTTTTGTTGTTTGTTGCTTTTTGTTGTCGATTCTTTTTCTTGTACTGTATTTACTAAACTTCAACCCTTCGTGTTTAGAGCTTCCGCGTACAACATATATAGAGTCGAGGCTCTAAACAATCAAATTAGAGTTTACCTCAAAAATTTCACTAGAAGAGGTTCTTTTGATGCCCAAATATCCTCAAATTGATCATCTCGATGTCAAGATGCGTAAACAGGAGAAAAAAAATGGATTTCAAGTTTTGGAAATAGCGTGTTTTGTGATGCATTTTTGGACCGCCAATTTTAAAAATTTTCAAATTTTCATAGATCTATCGATCTACACTATTTTTGAAGCTTTAAACTTTATAAATAAAGTTGAAAATATATTTTAAGGCTATCACAAAGATTTTCAATATTGAAACTGTTTTTCTCGATACCATTTGAAAGTAAGCCCTAATTTGATTGTTTAGAGCCTTGGCCCTATACAAATTGCACCGAATATATAACTATTTTTTAAATACTTTGATTAAGAGTGATTTATGTACGGACATGAAATCTTTACCTAAAATACGAAATGGGGAAATTTTGGGTGAGAATTACGTGGAAGCGTCAGCTCGTGTTTTTTTTTCAAAATGACCGCTTGGTCTGAGGATGTCATCCTCAGACTGCATTTTAGTTATTATGTTTTTAAGTTTTTCGTTAATAGGGCAGTGCCCCAAGCTTTAAGGGCAGTGCCCAAGCAGTCCGAGGTTAGAATCTTCGGATTGCCCTTTGGACTGAGCAAGCCTCAATTCCTGAGTGATTTGAGGTCCCCATCCTCGAACCGCTCTTTCTTTTTTATATTTTGAGAAAAACAGTGGTTTGAGGTCCCCATCTTTGAACCGCACTTTATTTTTTATTTTTTGAGAAAACTAACAGTCAGAGGATGGGACCTCGGATCGCTTTCTGGATTCAGCATAACTCAATTCCAGGGCAGTCTGAGCTCCCCATCCTCAGATCGCGCTTTATTTCTTTTTTTTTTAGAAAAACAATGGTTTGAGGATGGGGATCTCAAACATCTCTATTGGGTTTTACTGTGTTCGCAAGGGGGTCCAAGGATTCTAACTTCGAACAGCCTAGGCACTGTGCCTAAAGCTTGGGGCACTGCCCTACCAATGAAAAATTAAAAAAAAAGAAAAAAAAAAAAAAGACTAAAATACGGTATAAGGTTAGAATACCTGTTCGTAGGGGCAATTTTGAAAAACAATAAAAAAAATTCAGTTTGACGGACCTTCCTTGTAATTTCCTCTTATAATTGAATCATTTCGTGTTTTAGGTCATTATTTCGGTCCTATACGTAATTTACTCTTTGATTAAAAGATGATAGCCAAAACTTCTCTAATACAAAATTATAAATAAATTTTAAAATTCTGCCTACTTTATGGATAACTTTTGAAATGCGCTTATGATGGATAAATTTAGCTGGAGAGTGATTACCTTGACATCAATTAAAAACCTGAGGTCCAAGATTTAGGCCTTACATCATAAATATTACTCCTCAGGCCATCTGCGCACACTCACACATACTGAGAGAGACAGAAAGAGAGAGATGGTTTCTGGGAAGGCCATTGAAGGAGCTCCTGTACCTGCTTTGCGAACTTCAGGTAGTAGATTTGATGGGGCAAAAGGAATTAAAGAACTCGCAGAGTCCGGCCTGCTTACATCGATACCCCCAACTCATGCATTTCCACCCGACCCAACCGCTTCTAACCTTTCTTCTTCATCAATCGAAGAGCAACTTCCAACCATCGATTTCTCATTCCTGCAGGCCAAAGAAGCCGTGGTGAGATCGAAGGCTATTCGTGACCTTGGTGAGGCTGGCGCTGAATGGGGTTTCTTCAGGGTGAGTTTGAGAGAGAGGGGGGAGACAGTGCATGTGTGTGAGAGAGAGTTAGAGAGTGCTGTAATTTACTTTCTATATAAAAAAATTGTGAAAAGTTAATAAAAAATACTCACAAGAGATGAAGGATTTAGGAGTTTTTTTGAACTATTTATGTAATCTCAAAATACCTATCTTGGAATAGATTTTAAATGGTTCAATTCATGGGTGTTTTATTTGTTGAATTAAAAATTGCAGCTAGTGAACCATGGGGTGCCGGAAAGTTTGATGAAGGGGATGCTGGACTTGGCTAAAGACTTTTTTGATCTTCCTGCGGAAGAGCGGAAGAAGTACACAGGGAAACAAGTTTTGGATCCAATTCGTTACGGCACAAGTTTCAACATACTGGTCGAAGAGGTAAAATTTTCAAGGGTAGATCATTAACTTTACTGAATGAAAATAAATTATAAAAGTAAGAAAAAATTTCGAAAACTCTCTACTTTGTACTTTCTAGGCATCTTTCTTCCTAACGCTTATACCACAGAGACCCCATCTAACCCCAAGTTTTCACCCCAACTTGCCCCAAGTGAAAAACTGTTTTTTTTTTTAATAAAATACCACCGGTATAAACTTTGAACTCATTGTACTAAAGGGTGTGGTTTGTATGGAGCGGACGCTCTAAAACAAACTATTTCCAATTAAAAAATTGATTTTTATTTGGGTTAGAATACCACCCGTTTAAACTTTAAACTCATGATACTAAAAGGTACGGTTTGTATAGAGTCGAGGTTCTAAACAATCAAAATAAAACGCATCTTTAAATAGTATCAAAAAATTTGGTTTCAATATTGGAAATCTTGGTGATGGCCTTAAAAATATATTTTAATATTTAATTATAAAAATTAAAACATCAAAAATATTATAGATCGAGCAGATCTTTGAAACCTTGAAAATCTTGAAAATTGACGGTCTAAAAATACATGATAAGATACACTATTTCTAAAACTTGAAATCTATTTTTTTTCTCATGTCCATACATCTTGAGGTCGAGGTGATGAATTTGAGGATATTTATGCATCAAAACAACCTCTTCGAACGGATTGAGGTGCGTTCTAATTTGATTGTTTAGAGCCTCACACTTATATAAACTTTTTGTCAGTCGGGCACAAAAATGTAATCATCCCAACGCAAAATGTGCCGGACCAGATATGCTAGGCGAGCAGAATACACAGTGCTAGCCTAGAACAAAAAGCGGACCGGCCCGGTTATATATCAAGTTGTGCCACTCTAGCACATTATGTGCTGAGCCCGGTTATATATCAAGTTGTGCCAGTCTAGCACATTATGTGCTGAGCCAGCTTAGAAAGCGGAAGCGGAAAATATAGCTTAAAGACAGTTATTTTGGTCCAATAAAGCCTACTTATTAACTTCCAAGGGTGATTTGAAATACCCCAAGTTTTGGGGTTAGGACTGTGAGTGGTATGTCTAAGTCAAGCGTATCTATCATCATCATTTTAGCCCTTTATTAATTTCAAGGGGGTATTTATAATTTTCCAAAAAATTAATCTCTCTTAATCAAAATAGATACATGGAAAGAGTTTCTATGAGTAATTTTAACATCTATATATATCAGTAGATTAAAGAAATACAAAAAAGAGGTTTTGAGAACTTGATCGTCTAGATATATCCCCCAACAAAGTTGAACAATATTTATTTAATCTTGAGGACCTCATTCATTTTTTAGACAAAGAGAGTCCGAACTGCGGAGTAGAATTTTTTTGTTTTTTATTTTTATTTGTTTTCCCATTGAAGTTGGTCGGTTCGAATATTGTTCCTACTTCTAATAATAAATATTTCTGAATTTTTGAAAGAAGAATATAAGAAACTATTAACTAGTGCTCGATTGCACGAACAGATCTCATGGCCGGGTTCAAGAACCAGGAACCGATCTAGGGAATCGACCCTAAACAAGGCAGGTCCCGACCGGGATAAAAAGGATTAAAAAACTAAACAAATCTAAAAAAATCCCAAAGAAATCAAAAGCATATTTAAAGTATAATTTAAAAAAATAAAGCCAAGTGAGGTTAAAAAAGTAGTGAAAAAATAGACTTTCAAAAATCAATATGTTCTCAGGAATATTTTAGAAATAATCCAAAAATATAAAAAAATGTAAAAATAAGTATTTATAGTTAAAATAGTTCCAACCTTTTTCAAAACAATAGAAAACATGAAATGAAACTATTACAAACAAAATGTGTATTTTTGGATTTCTCGGCCTTACACCCCAGAGAAACGTTACAGAAGCCAGAAAGGCATGGCCATCATAACCTCCCCATATATCACAATGAGTAAGTGGAAAAGGTGAACTAAATGGAAAAGATAGTCAATTTTGTTTTGCTTTAGGGTATGCCTAACAATGACAATCAACTGAATAAAAAATATCAAAATGTTTCTTGATAAGAGTTTGTAACCGAGCATTGGACGGGTGGCCAAGACACCGGTACCATATGTCCGTGGACTGTGGGTGTTGGGCAGAGGAAGCAATCACATTGTTAAAAGATTGGAACAGATAAAATCCACCTTGTTCTCTACTTGCTCCAATAATCTTCCTCATTAACTGGTCCTCCAAAATATAATGGGTTGCAAAAAATGTTAATGAATAGTTGAGATCATAAACATGTTGCTTAAGAGATAATAGATTGAATTTGAATAAATGAACGCATAAAACATTTAGTAAGGAGATATGATCAAAAATAACGATGGCACCAATGTGTAAAACAAATGTCTTCCTACCATCGGGTAGTTTAACATGAAGGGTGGGTGATTGAGAAAAACATACTTAAGGAGAGCGAAGGGAGTGAGTGGCTTACTCTAAAAGGAGAGACATCATTCTTGTAGGGCCATGACAGGGGAGGCAGAGGATACTCAGACAATGCCCGCTATGATACTTTGTGAAAATTAGAAAAACTCCTAAGATGTGAAGAATCGAAAAACACCCAAGAGATATGAAGATTAGAAAGAGTCCCAAGAGATTTAATGCTTAAGAGTTACAAAAATTGTAATCACGTAATTGTAGAATGTAATTATTTGATTGTAGGGATTGAAAGTCAAGAATGGAATCCCTGGATTGTAGGGATTTGGAGTCAATTGTAAGCCTTTGATTTGTAGGGATTGAAAATAATGGAATATGTTGATTGTAGGGATTGGAGATTGATTCGATAGTTGCAAAAGATTTGAATTTGAATTCTCAACATGAGGCCACTGTGGAAGTTTGACTCATTTACCTCACTTGAGCCAAATACTTAGAGGGTGTGATTTGTAAAAGGCCAAGGCTCTAATCAATCAAAATAGGGTGGGTGCACCTTTAAATAGTGTCGAAATATGTTGTTTTAATATTAAAAATATTTTATTTGTCTTGTACATTTATTTTTATTTCTAATAATAAAATTTAAAGTTAAAAAATAATGTAGATCGAGCAGATATATGAATACTTGAATGTTTTGAAAATTGACGATCTAGATAATATATTACAATATACTCTATGTTCAATACTTGAGAACTTTTTTTCCTAATGTCCATACATCTTGAGGTTGAGATGATCGAATTGAGGGCTGCTTGTCAACATAGAAATAACCTTTTTTAATGAATTTTTGAGCATTGCATTAATTTGATTCTTTAGAACCTCGCACTTATATAAACATTTTCCATACTTAAATGCCGATGTTTGTTCCTTGTTCCAAACCTGAAAATTGTTTGTTTCATGTTAGAAATATTGTTCAGAATTCAGAACCTCAAAAATTGTAGGGGAGTTTTGGTATTTGGGTCACACTAGAGTCACCGGAGCCAAAAGACATCAACATTGATGCTTGATTGTAGTTCCAACCCCAAATGTGGCTTAAATGAAAAGAATATATTTAGAGTTTGGAATTCTGAACCAGCAAAGTTATTTATATATATTTTTTTAAAATAACTTGAGTGACAAGATTACTAAGATGTCCCTATTACATGTTCCAACCCCTCTGAGGTAATTGCGGCATTCTATAAGAAAATAGACAAGGATTCAACTAAGACAAATGATTGTTAAAGATTAGCCGGTAATTTAGTTGAATTAACCAACCAACAAATCAATCTTTTTATATAGCTTGACCATTTCATGAATACTTTCCAAAGAAAGGGTAGCATTAATTACAAATTTTAAATCTTCTAATTTTTTTAACTTTTTGAATTTAAAAGAAATTGGCATTTAGATTTTTCCTATATTATTGTACTGAAAAATTTAAAAATTTGCTTTTGGGTAATTCGGTGAGGAAGGGTTCTCTAATAATTAGAGCTATTTTTAAATTTGAGAATTCCATGTTATCTTTCACTTGGTTTTCAGCATTGTTTGGTTGTGCATGTGTCCGGGGGCTCGTTTGAATTAATATCTACCATCTCAAACATATAAAAATAAAGAAAATTAAATTTGGTTCGTAGCAGGTATTTTGTTGGAGAGACTTTCTCAAGGTTATTGTGCACCCATCCTTCCATTCTCCCGAAATACCAGCTGCTTTCAGGTAACATCACAATATTTTATTCTACCCTATATAATGGTACCATTAATTTTCGATACAAGGATGTCACAATCATTATTGATCATTGGATGTAAATCGGATAGTTGAAGATGACTAATTGATTGGGGATAGAGTACAAAATAAAATTTCTTGAATGTTACAACATACTTCAATCTATTAGATTTCATATCTAATGGTATGACCTCCTTGTAATAAAAGTGAATGGTCTCATTGTATACAATCCCGAGTGAATTTCTTTACGCTTTTCCTTCATTTATTCTCATTTCATGATTTGGTATACACAAAAAATCATAGAGTTACGCCCCCTTGAAAGATCCAAAAATTTAGAGCATAGAAACCAAGAAATTGTCCATTTATTTTACTAGACAACTGAAAGTTTGATCATGACCAGGCACCAAGCTCACCCCATGCTAGAAGATGCTCAATTTTATTCAAATAATTATTAGTTTCATTTAAATTAGCATTTTAGACCTCAACTCTTCATTTTGATCGATGTTATTTAGTTCTTAACGATTTTAAAATTGGATTATTTGGTTTTTCAAACTCACCAGCGCGCTCATCCATTTGCGCTCAACATCACCATATCCATCCGCGCTCAACAGCGCAATGTCCATCCGCGCTCAACAGCACTACATCTGCACGCACTCAACCGCGCGCTCACTGCACTCAACGACGCACTTAACCATTCTTGCTCTCTACATGTGCACTCATCCGCTCGTGCTCAACAACGCGTCGGTTCACCAGCGCCTAACCGCGCATTCGATCATCCATGCACAAATGCGTGCTCACCTCTGCTCGCGCTCTTTGTGGACTCATTTACCCGCCGTGCGCTCTAACGCGCCTCCACCCACAAGCTTTTGCCTGCCCACACCTTGCCCTACATTCTACCAATACTTCGAGAAATTCCGGATCATTACATCATCCCCCCCTTTAAAAGGATCTAATCCTATAAATCATACATCTGTTATTCAAATAAATGGGGGTATGAAAGAGGGACTCTTCTCAAAGCAATCTACTGTGGCATGATGAACATACAACCAATTCATGCCCAAGATTGCATCAAATTCCTAAACATCCAAGAGAATCAAATCTATAGGCAAGACTCTACCTCCCAACCGTATCCCACAGCGTCTAAACTCTGAGTCAGTCACTAGAGAGTCCCTTAATAGGTATGCACACACTAAGGTATGATCAACAAGTGCAGATTCAATGCTTAAGTAACATACAAAATGAGGTGCTATGAAAGAGTGAGAAGAAATCAGGATCAATCAAAATTCTAGCTTCTCTACCTCAAACATGAGCTTACCTTGGATCACTGAGGTAGAAGCCTTCGCCTTCTGCTTTGTGAGTGCAAACACCCGATCCTGAGTCTTTGGCTTAGACTCAATCGTCATCATGGGTCAGTCTCTAATCAGGTGGCCTGTCTTGCCACACTTGAAGCATGCCTTCGTCTTCAGTCAGCACTCGGAAGCCACATGACCATGCTTCCCACAGGAGGCACAATGCACTGGTTGGTTTTGGTTGACATCGTCCTGGAAGGTCTTTTGAGTCTTATCATTCCCCTAATTTCCTTTTTCATGAAAACCTCTTAGAGGCGAAGGCCCAACCTTTCGCTTCTCCTTCCTTAGCCGGTAATCATCGCAAGCCCTTTCTATCTTCCTGGCTAAGTCCACCAATTGGGAGAAAGCCTTAAGATTGGTCGGCATAATTTTTTCTTGGATATCAGGTCACAAGACCCTCTCAAACTTGCGTGCCTTATGAGCGTCCGTGTTGATAATGTGCGGCACATATCAAGATAACTCTAAGAACTTAGCCTCATATTGATCAACGGTCAGCCTTCCTTGCTGCAATTTTATGAACTCGACCTCCTTTCTTTCCTTTACCGAGTCAGAGAAATACTTTTCATTAAAGACCCTTAGGAATTCCTCCCAAGTAGGTACCGTATCTACTTCTTCCCAGGCCTGCTGGACCGAACGCCACCAATATTCGGCGTCCCCTTCTAGCATGAAGGTACCCATCCTCAACTTCTGCTCATCTGAGCACTATATGATGCCAAAGGTCTTCTTAGGATGCATCAGCCACCTCTCGACATCTCTATTACGTCATGCCTCGCGAAGGTTGGTGACCCGAACCTCTTAAACTTCTCTATGAGGCAACTATCATTATGCCTTAGGCTAAGGGCAGCCAGGGCCAGCATACAATCCTTCATGACTTGAGTCATGGCCCCGACCCTAAAGAATTCTCCAAAAGCCTCGGTGTTCCCATTACTCATGCTTGAATTGTTGGCATGAGCCCTCGGCATGTTGACCTCAAACAGGAACACCCAGACGCTAGTTACTAGCCTATTCAAACCACCCTAAAGACCAATCTAAGACTCTCTAGCTCAAGAATCATGTCCTGGCTGCTCTAATACCATAACTTGTCACGACCTTGCTCCCTACCCCATACTGTACTTACCAAAGGGCAACAAGGTGCAGAATCGCAACCAAAGATAGCGATAGCCACTCAGGTGTAGTGCGGTCAATGCTTTGAAAAGATGTGGATCAAAGCTAACCATGAAATAAAAACTAAACACAAGCACATAACCACAAAAAGCTGGACAAACAAGTCCTAACTATACATAATAACTCCAAAATATTACAAAAGATTCCAAGCCACAAACGCCCAACAACATTACATAAATTCACACAAGCTGAACCGTAGGGCCAAATTGCCATTTAAGACATACAAGCTATAAAGAAGCTTCCACAAGAAGTACGAGCTCCAACTGCGAACATCAGAACGCCCCTCTAAAACCTGACGGCCATCACTCTACATAGAGGAAAGTTAAAAGAGTGAGCTATAAAGCCCAGTAAGTAGATCAAGGTGTCATACTTTCCTGCCTACGCATTTTATCACATAACAATACTCAAGTTTTATGCAAGTCTTATGAAACATGAACCATGAGTACATGATTCATAATGAAGCAACAACAAATCAGATCAATCATATATGATATGAAGCAGAGGTTGATCAAATCATTCAACCATAAGCATATCAACATATCAACACAATTAGGCATTCGTAATCAAGATCAACAAATACTAGCTAACTCACTCCCTAGCTCAAAGCAACCATATCACTGGTATTAATCCTGGTCATGCAATACGCTCAAAGCATGCTAAGGAATTACAAAGTCAGGCCATGCAATACGCTCAAATCATGTACCTCACTGGTATCAATCATGGTCATGCAATACGCTCAAAGCATGTCAATGAATCACAAAGTCAGGTCATGCAATACGCTCAAAGCATACACCTCACTGGTATCAATCATGTTCGTGCAATATGCTCAAAGCATGTCAAGGATTCACAAAGTCAGTCAATGCAAAATGCTCAAAGCATGCACCTCACTAGTATCAATCATGGTCATACAATACGCTCAAAGCATGCTAATGATTTACAAATTCAGGCCATGCTATACGCTCAAGGCATGCACCTCATTGGTATCAATCACGGTCATGCAATACGCACAAAGCATGCCAAGGAATCACGAAGTCAGGCCATGTAATGCTCTCAAAGCATGTACCTCACTAGTATCAATCATGGTCCTGCAATACACTCAAAGCATGCCAAGGATTCACAAAATCAGGTCATGCAATACCCTCAAAGCATGCACTTCACTGGTATCAATCATGGTCATGCAATACGCTCAAAGCATGCCAAGGAATCACAAAGTACTTATCACATAGCACATAACATATCACAAAATCATGCACGCATATCACTAACCATACATGTATCATAATCATATACACATATCATAACAGAGCATGCCTTACTACATGCTTCCTTATAACAGAGCATATCTCATTATCATGTGTTCATATCACAACAGAACGTGGCTTACTACAACATTCATATCATAACAGAGCATGCCTTACTACATGTATTCATATCATAGCAGAGCATGTCATACTACATGCATTCATATCAGAGCATATCTTAATATCATGCATTCATATCATATCTCAAGTCATACTATCTAACAATGCAATAGATGTCACAACATTGTCTTCATGGTTTTTCAATATGAATACAGTTCACCTTTAAACGTATATCATGAGATTCAAAAATCATTTAGACCTGAGACCACTTTTATGACAAGCTATGCTCATGAAACTCAACTTTCGTGAGCCCAAATTTTGGGTTAAAGTTTGCCAAACTATTTGATGTTCTTGAACAAAATTCCTGCTTTGACAGTAGAAAATCTAAGAAGACATACTCCGAGGAAAACAGACATTACATTCAAACCACAAGGACTTTAATCATGATTCCAAAACCATTTTCAAAATATATTCCTTGATCTTTGATTTAGAAGCGGTTTGACCTCATTACGATATGCTTTTATCAATGAAAATCTCCACACAAAAATACATAAAATCCCTAAAATTTCTTTTCACAAATATGATATGCTTCAGCAAATGGTAAATAACATTTAAACCAAAAGGGATATTAACAAGTGGTCTTTTCCATGATAAAGTATACTCAATAAACTATGTTTCCATAAAATTTCATGATCTAAGGAGATATATAGGATACTCAAATAGTTTTTCAAACCGGAGCCACAGCTCTGGAAAGCATGGCACATTCTAGCAAGATTTCAGTAACATACATCCACCCCCATATTTACACCCATATTCATTATTGAATTTCATACTTTGATAAGCTAAGTAAACATGCATCAATCTCAAGCATGATAACATGGAAACTATATCCACTTACCTACTGCAATTGAAATCTCAAAGTCTTTCTCCAACTTCACCAAAACTGCCAAGCTCCAAAGGATTAGGTCCAAGCTCAAGGGACAAGGCTTGGAGTGCTCAAATGACTAAGGGAGGAGGAGATGAATGTGGGTAAGAGATAGAAAACCCCATTTCATAAGTGGTAGGGTGTATAAATAATCAAAGATGGTGGTAACATGCAATTGCTACATGGCACATT